GGTCCAAAGGACACGCTCTGCTCCCGGTGCTGCTTTCTTGGTGGTAGGAGCTCCCCCACTCTCTGCTTTTTTCCCTTTCCTTTGATCTCTTGTAAGATAAAAAGTGGTGTGGGCCACACCCTAGGGAAACTTGCTTTACATTGGATCAGGGATGTGACCTTAGTAAGGGTGTTGTACAATCCCACCCTAATCCTCTTTAACCTAAAATTACAATCACAAAATGGAGGACAACTATACAATACTAGGAATCATGGCCTAACCAAGTTGACACATTATTTTTGGGGGGACATAACTCAATCCATGACAAGGTGCCTTTGGAAGGATGTCAAAATGCAAGGGAGAAGTGAGAGATGGATATCATGAAAAATGTCCAGAAGGTCTAGCCCTCCATCTTTGATTTAACCAGCAGCAAACCATATGAAGGTTTTGTCAGCCACCACCACAAGCCAACTTCTGCAAAGCTTTCAGGACCACAGGGAGGGTTGAAAGGGCTTCTGTCTTAGGAGGAAGACAACTGGAACAGCTCCCGTTTCCTAGGGCATCCTGTCCTGTCTCTGACTCCCCCTTCCAGGACCTACAGTACCTACCTTTGTCCTCACCTTAGCTGATGCTCGGCAGTTTCAGACAGGCTATTAATGCCCTAGTCTGTACCTGCCAAGGCCTACAACACCTGCCTTTTCTCACCACCAATCCTGGCTGCTTACAGAATTCCACCTGCTGCCTTCCACACCCTACCCACAGCTAGCCCTCCTCTTTCTAGTCCACAACCTAAGAGAAGGCTTGGAAGGCTACAGAAAGGCTCAGAGACAATGGATAAAGGCCAGTCTTTTCCAGAGGGGCAGAAACCGAAGCCTGATTTCTGCTCACATTCTTCACCATGAAGAAAGGGCATTTCTAATCCTTTGTACAACACTATGAGCATCCAGTCTCTGGTGGACTCAACAGGAAAATGCAGACCACAGCGAGTCCCTTCCAAACTTGTCCCAGCCGACGGTGACACAGGTTTCTTGCTGTGATGTGCGCTCTGTACAGTGCCAAACACACTCCTGATTAAAATAAACATGTAACCATTTTTGATTCTGCAAAATACAAACTCGATCCATAAGGAAGGGAGTGAGAAATATTTATGGGGATACTGATTCATAGTTAGAGCACCCTACGTTCTCCTGTTAATACGCACCTCAGCCTAAGCAGCTTAACCAACACAAGGCCGGCTCAGTCACACAGAGTGCACTACAGGACGGGATAATGTGGGAAGCTGACATCAGGGATAGCAGTGGAGAGCCAGTATAATGGTGTAACTTCCACTGGGCCTATTTTCCTATAAATAAATACTATATTATGTACACCCACATGGTATCTTTTAGCTTAATTTTTTTTCACTTCCATTTTTATTTGAACCTTACAGTAAAGTCCACCTCTGAGCTCTGTATGCTTCCTGACAATGAACTATGCACTCTTATCTCCAATTTACAGACGAGGTAAGACTCTGTGAGGATAAGTAATCTAGGTAAGGTAAGCTACTGACCGGCAGAGCACAGTTCAAACTCAGGGCCACTGGGCGAGTCCACAGCTCTTCCCTGTCTCCTACTGAAAAGTATAAATTCACTTCAACTCGGCCCTTTCTGAGCATCTGCCACATAGCCAGCCTATGCGTGGAGCTGGGACGTAAATAGATCCAGTCCCCTCCCTGCACGGAAGGAAGGGGCAAGTGGGGAAGAGCACATGTGACCCAGTGACTGCAGGAGAGTTGCCACCGGAGATGTGCAAAGGACTCAGACGCCTGGAGCTGCAGAAAGATTTCTGCGGTCAAGTTCTCAGCTAGGACTTGAAGGACGATGGACCCCCCAAATGCAGAAGCAGGGGATCCAGCAGACAGAACAGCATATACCCAGCAGGGTAAGGAGGCCTGGGAATGACAGGGGGCCTGGGGATGGTGAGCACAGGTCAAGGCCCACACCAGAAAGAGCTCAGTGTCTGCTGGGTCCCTTTCCAAAGGAAAAGGCTCAGAGGGGAACTAGACAGCCCTGGTGGCACAGTGGTTAAGCGCTTGGCTGTTAACCAAAAGTCAGCCGTTTGAACCCACCAGCTGCTCTGCAGAAGAAAGATGTGGCAGACTGCTTCCATAAAGATTTACAGCTGAGAAACCTTACGGGGCAGTTCTACTCTGTCCTATAGGGTTGCTACGAGTCAGAATTGACTCGGTGGCCAACAGCTTTGCACAGCAAACTGGGAGTCCCTGGGGGAGCAAACAGTTAACGAACTCAGCTGCTAACTAAAAGGTTGGAGGTTCCAACTCACCAGCAGCTCTGCAAGAGAAAGATGCGGCAATCTGCTTCTGTAAAGATTACAACAGCCTTGGAAACCCTACGGAGCAACTTTACTGTCCTACAGGGTTGCTATGAGTCCTTGAAAACCCTATGCGACAGTTCTACTCTGTCCCACAGGGTCGCTGTGAGTTGGAATCGACTCAACTACAGTGGGTTTGGTGGTGCAACAGTTAAGTGCTCGTCTGCTAATCGAAAGATGAAAGGTTCGAACCCACCCAGTGGCTCAGCAAGAGAAAGACCTGGCAATCTCCTTCTGTAAAGATTTCAGCCTAGGAAACCCTATGGGGCAGTTCTACTCTGTCACACGGGGTCAATGTGAGTTAGAAGCAACTCAACAGCACACAACAACGTTAGAAAGATAAGATGAAAAAGCTAAAAAAAAAAAAACATTCTGCCAGTTAAGAGAACAGTGTCCAGTTAATGGCAGCGGTTACTTCCTACTTACGCACACACGATACTGGGGGAATCCACGACCACGGCTACCAGGTAGGGAGGGAGACAAAAAGCAACACTCGTAACTTAAGGAGTGTGGGATGAGATTCGTGCAGCAGGGAAGGATCTGACTCCTCTAAAGACTATTTTCAAAAATCTCCCCTTACCTCTATCAGCCGTGCTCTTCACGGTATAACTCTAGTTAAAGCAGCTCTGTTGGGAGCTCAGGGCTGACAGTGAACTCCTCCCCTCCCCTGGGATCTGGGGGAACTGCCCAGGGAAACTCCATTTGCTCCCTCGTTTTCACACCTGCCTCCACGCCACTTCTCTACCTAGCCACCATACCTAGGGCATCAACTTCCAAGGTGGTCAGGGGCATTGCTGCGCTCCCTCCCATCCCGAAGAGATGACACGGTGGAAGAGTCCCCGTGGAACAGTCCCCGTGGGACAGTCCCCGTGGAAAAGTCCCCGTTGAAGAGGCCCCATGGAAGAGGCCCGGTAGAAGAGTCCCGGGAGGGGCAAACGAAATGGAGTGCTACCAGTTCTTTAAGGTCATGTATTCCAAACAAGGCTGCTGGTTAATGTCCTGTTCCTGATCTCTAAATTCCCTGGCCCTACACTGGCCCCACACCCATCACTATTTAATCAAGCCCACACAGACAGAGCAGTTCATACTAATTTTAAAGCCTCCAGGATGGCTGGAGGCCAGGATATAAGACCTCCCTGACTGATACTCCGACTGGACTGTGAAACAGCACCCGCTCTCTGGGCCTGGAGCTGGGCTCACCAGGAGGACCAGCAGCAGGTCTGAGCGAAGCAGTGACTGAGGCGCAGTCCGCCAGGCCTGGCTCACACCTGCTGTCCCAGTGCAACCACAGCAGTGTCCTCTTCCACTCTCAGAAATGTTCACTCTTGAACAAGTTGTTGTTGTTGGGTGCTGTCGAGTCGATTTTGACTCACAGTGACCCCATGTGACAGAGTAGAACTGTCCCATAGGGTTTGCTAGGCTGCAATCTTCATGAGAACAGATCGCCAGATCTTTCTCCCACAGAGCTGCTGGATGGGTTCGAACTGCCAACCTTTGGTTAGCAGCCGAGTGCCTACCCACTGCGCCACCAGGGCTGTGGCGAACGTCAGCCCACCTTCCAGATACAAAACCTCCCAAGTGGGCAGTCCAACCCTGACCTGGAACTGCCTCTCCCGACTTCCCCTCTTCAGTCACAATTCCATCAGCAGCTCTATGTCCCCTTCTCCAGAAGCTATTCACAGATGCAACAGCTTTCCAAACCTCCCCACAGATACTCTCCACGATGATCGGCGCTGAGAAGTGAAATTTCAAAAACACGCATTTTACAGTGAACCAGGTAAAGAAAAGCAAAAGAATCTCCAAGACTTACTGTAACTTTCACAAAATCCATTTCAACATATGACCTAATATTTACTAATATTTCAAATATATTCATATTATTCATTACTAGCTAAAAACCAATGTACAGTTTATTTTGTCTTTTAGCATCTGATGAGGGCATCACAATAAGATATACAGACACCCACACACAAAACTCCTGTGACTTGAGAAGTCTGAAATCTTTTGGGACTTACAAGCCACTAAGTTTATTATCTCATGACTCACAGCTTCACTGTTTTACGGTGTGGGTGTGGAGAAGACAATGGAAATTCTACCAGCCTTCAAACAGTCTTTGCCTAATACTGAAAGAGGAAGCCCCAATCAACTGTGTGTTTTCCATGGGTATCATTTTATTTAAGAAAAATGACTAATGACTATTATTTACTCTGAGCCTCATGGGTGCTTCCAATCTGGGCTCTACCATCTTTACTTTTTAGTGTCAGATTCATTCTGGATATTCTTGCAATTCCCAGGGCTTCTGACCGACTGCTACTCAGACACAGGACATACATGACCAGAAGTACAGGCAGACGCAGCCACCAAGTAGAGTGCCCTGCTGGCCAGGGAGCCGCCAGGGCAGACCTCCTTTAAAAGCACACTGAGATGTATTATTCTCTCTCCCGTCCGTCTCTATCTCTCTCACACACACACACTCACGCCCCAGCTTCTTAAGCACTCACTAGTCTTTCTTCTGAAAACAGTAAGATAAAAACCAGAGTCTGGGGTGTCCTTCACTCCTCCCCAAAGGCCCAGTCAACTGTCATCACAGACTTCACACATTAACTGAGAGAGAGAGAGTTAGAACCCACTCCCCACACTCGAGGACTCACCCTCCTCCTCTTGGGCTTGAAGGACCATCTTTCTGTCGGCAGGATACTCCGGGTTTACTAGCTCTGTCCTGAGAAGGAGAGCTGGAACTCAGAGCATACTTTCCCTCGAAGGTACGAAGGGTGGGTGAGACCAGGATACCTGCGGGGGTTTTTTAGCCACTGGGACAGCTCAGAGCTGCTTCCTGAACTGACGGAGAAAGAAATCCTGCCCTCCTGGGCCAATCAGTGCTCAGCCTCAGCAGGAGTGGCGCTCCCAGGTCACTGCCACCACCCAGTTCCTGAAGTCAAGCTTAATACCGTCCTAGTATGTTAACCCTCTGCTTCCTGAAGGCAGTCCTGGACTGGAGTGGGGCTGCGTGAACAGCTGTGTTCTGGTCTTTTTGCAGATTGAGCTCACTGGGTGTCCACGGAGCTTGGTGTTGCTTTTCTCTTTCGCTTTCCAACTACTTTTTTAAAACAGAATCACTAAAGCCCTGGTCAGCTCATGATGAGATAAGAGAATCTCCCAAGACAATGACAAAGAGATCTTAATCACTCCGGTATGTTATGAGGTCACAGGCTAAAAGCAGAAGGCAGAAAAAGCAGAAGCAGAAGGGCAAAACTCCCATATAAGTTCAGTGTTATCCCCATTCTATTTCCTAATGTGTTGTACCAAAATGTCATTTTCTCTGTACTCTTATTTCACTCATGATACCTATTCATTGTTGAAAATTAGAAAACAGTAGTAAGTAAAAAATGACCTTAATCCTATGGTCCAGTGACAACCACTGATGATATCTGCTCTACATCCTTCCAGACTTTTGTTCTGTGTATTAGTTTTTCTCCCCCCCTCTATGTACATATGCATATTTATTTTGAACAGAAATTGGATATTTCACATGCTGTTTTATAACCAGCTATTTTACTTACAACATCTTCCGCAGCTGTAAACGGACATCTATCACATTTTCAGCATGTCACCCCATGAAGGAGCTATTCAACCAATCCTCTATTGCAGGACCTTAAAGCGGGTTCCGATTTTTCTGCCACTCTCAACACAGCGATAAATACCCACGTGCTCACATTTTGGCACATCTCTTGAATTATTTCCTTATCAAAAATTCTTAGAAGTAGAATAGCTGGATCCAGATACAGCTTCCCAAGGACAGGCTAAGGGGCCCCTCAAGTCCTTTATTTATACTTCCAAGTGACAGGTGAAAGGGAAACACCTGTACCTAGCACGCCACCACTGCAGGTAACATTTACTGAGTGCTGACTCTGTGCCCAGCTTGGCGTGGCCTAACTCATCAACTCCTGAAAACACCCTTGGAGGTATTACCTTCACCCCCAATCCATGGGTGAGGACACTGAGACCAGGGAGTTTACACAGCTCACCCATCGTCCAAGATCTGGGATCCAACCAGGGCGTCCAGCCCACCCTCTGCACTAAGCTCTCCTGAAGGACCACCAAGGCCCCCACCCATGAGGTCTTGGTTGTAGAGCAGACTCCTGCCCTACCCTCTGCACTAGGCTCTCCTCCAGGACCACCAAGGCCCCCGCCCACGAGGTCTTGGTTGTCGATGCAGACTCCTGCAGTGTGTACTCAGGAAGACTGAGCCACCTGGTCATCATCACCGTTAGAAACACGCACGATTACCGAGAGACAGCGGAGCAGTATCTCGTCACGCTCTGAAGGCCACCACAGGCGCTGATGCATCTCAAGGGTAGCAGCCCAGTCCCACCTTTTTCCTTCTTCTCTAATAATAGTTAAATAAAACTGTATGTATATATTACCCTCCCCCTAATAAAACAATTTGTTTTACAGAGTCAACTAATATAAACCCAACCTTTCATTAAAAAAAAAAAAAAAAACTTATTGTGCTTTAAGTGAAAGTTTACAGAGCAAATTAGTTTCCCGTTTGTACATAAAGTATTCCATGACATCGGTTACATTCCCCATGTTTCAGTACTCTCCCCTTTTCTGCCCTGGATTCTCCATTTCCTTTTGTCAGGATTTTCTACCCCTTCCTGCCTTCTCATCTTTGCTCTTAGACAAATGCTGTCCTTTTGATCTCGTATAATTGATTGTTCTAAGGAATACGTTCTTCTTGGGTGTTACCATTTATTTTATGCCCTGTCTATTGTTTGGCTGAAAGGTGGTCTCCGGGAATGCTTTCAGTTCCAGGACAGAAGCATGTCTTAGGGCCACAGACTCAAGGGTTCCTCCAGTCTCTGTCAGACTAGTAAGTCTGGGTTTCTTTTGTGAGTTTGATTTTTTAGTCTACATTTTTCTCCCGCTCTGTCCAGGACCCTCTGTTGTGATCCCAGCCAGAGCAGTCAGTACTGGTAGCCGAGCACCATCTAGTTCTTTTGGTCTCGGGGTCATGTAGGCTGTGGTTCATATGGTCTATTAATCCTTTGAGCTAATTGCTCCCTTAAGTTTTTGGTTTTCCTCACTCCCCTTTGCTCTGAACCGGAAGAGACCACTTTTAAGAACTCAGAAAGCCACTTTTAAGACCTCAGACGCTACTCACCAAAGTAGGATGCAGAACATTGTTTTTATGAACTATGTTGTGCCAACTGATGTAGATGCCCCCCGAGCCTATGGTCCTTCACCTTCGAGCTCAGGAACTTCATCCCACGAGGTATTTGGTTTTGTCTAAGAGGTTTCCATGACTGTACCGCTTGTGTGCTCTACTGTCTACACTAATATACATGCAGCAGCTACAATTATGTATGCAGAATTATCCACAACCAAACCCATTATCTGCAGCTGGGTGTGCTCCTTTACACCCTCCCACATCTCTTTAGCATACCTATCTACCTATGTATCCACTTGTAAATTACTGTATGTTAATACTACTGTTCCAAGATTGTCTATGTTATAGTAATTACCATAGTTGCCCTTTATTCTTGCATTCCTCTCAGTGTCTTCCTTTGCCTTGGTCATGTTGTCCTGACTTCCCCCATATTGTGTATTGCCTTTCCCTTCACCAATATTAACATATGTTTTCTATCTAGTTATAATTTTCCCTCCCTCCCCCTCCCGTCCCTGGTAACCATCAAAGAATTTTTTTTCTGTGTGTAAACCTTTTCTTGTTTTTTTTATAGTAGTGGTCTCATACAATATTTGACCTTCTGTGATTGACTTATTTCACTCAGCACAATGTCCTCCAAATTCATCCATGTTGTGAGATGTTTCATGGATTCATTGTTAGTCTTTATCATTGCATAGTATTCCATTGTGTGTATGTACCACAGTTTGTTTATCCACTTATCCACTGATGGACACTTAGGTTGTTTCCATCTTTTTGCTACTGTGAATAATGCTCAGTGAACATGGGTGTGCATACGTCTATTCATGTCATGGCTCTTATTTATTTAGGGTTTTTACCTAAGAGTGAGATTGTTGGATCATTATGATATTTCTATTTCCAGCTTTTTGAGGAAGTGCCATACTGTTCTCCATAGTGGTTGCACCATTTTACATTCCTACCAGCAGTGTATAAGAGTTCCAATCTCCCCACAACCTCACGAACATTTGTTATTTTCTCGGTTTTATTATTATTTAGTGCCATTATTGTCAAGGTGAGATGGTATCTCATTGTAGTTTTGATTTGCATCTCTCTAATGGCTAATGGTCTTGAGCATCTCTTCATGTGTTTATTAGCTGCCTGAATGTCTTCTTTTGTGAAGTGCCTTCATATTCTTTGCCCGTTTTTTAACTGGATTGTTTGACTTTTTGTTGTTTAGGTATTGAAGTTTTCTATAAATTTTAGAAATTAGACCCTTGTCAGATATGTCATAGCCAAAAATTGTTTCCCAGTCTGTAGGTTCTCTTTTTACTCTTTTGGTGAGCATAAGTGTTTAATTTTTAGGAGGTCCCATTTATCTAGTTCATCTTCTGCTTTTTGTGATTTTTTTTACTTATGTTTGGTATTCTATTTACACCATATATTAGAGCCCCTAGCACTGTCCCTAATTTTTCTTCCATGGTCTTTATAGTTTTAGGTTTTATATTTAGGTCTTTGATCTATTTTGAGTTAGTTTTTGTGTATGGTGTGAGGTATGGGTCCTGTTTCATTTTTCTACGATCAGACATCCAGTTTTGCTAGCACCACTTGTTAAAGAGACTGTCTCTTCCCCCATTTAATGGACTTTGGCCCTTTTCTCGAAGATCAGCTGTCCATAGGTGAATGGACTTATGTCTAGGTTCTCAATTCTGTTCCACTGGTCTATGTGTCTGTCGTTATACCAGTACCAGGCTGTTTCGACTACTGTGGCTGTACAGTAGGTTCTGAGATCAGGTAGCATGAGGCCTCATACTTTGTTCTTCTTCTTCAGTAATACTTTAATTATCCGGGGCCTCTTTCTTTTCCATATAAAGTTGGTGATTAGTTTTTCCATCTCGTTAAAGAATGCTGTTGGAATTTGGATCAGGACTGCACTACATCAATAGATCACTTTGGGTAGTGTTGACATTTTCACAATGTTAAGGCTTCCTATCCACAAGCATTGTATGTCTTTCCATTTATGTAGGTCTCTTTTGGTTTCTTGCAGTAGTGATTTGTAGTTTTCTTTGTATAGATCTTTTATATACCTGGTTAGATTTTTTCCTAAGTATTTTATCTTTTGGGGGGCTACTGTAAATGGTATTGTTTTCCTGATTTCCATTTCAAAGTTCTCTTTGTTGTTGTAGAGGAATCCAACTGATTTTTGTATGTTGATCTTGTATCCTGCTACTTCGCTGAATCCTTCTATTAGTTCCAATAGCTTTCTTATGGAATCTTTGGGATTTTCTCTGATTAGGATCATATCATCTATGAATAGGGATAGTTTTACTTCTTCCTTACCAATCTGAATGCCTTTTATTTCCTTTTTATGCCTTGTTGCTCTAGCTCAACCTTTTACCTTTTAGTTTAGTATGTTTAAAATAACAGATACGCTTTCTCCTTTCCAACCTCCCTTCATAAGGAATGCCAGTGTCAGTCCAACCTGCTCCATTTCAAAACCAAAGCAATTAACGATTTCCAAATCAGCATTTCCTACCTTTGGGTCAGGTCTGACTCTTTGATGATGATCCTCACTTTTAAGAGAGCAGGTCATTTCTACTGGCAAATGGCAAAAAAAAAAAAAAAAAAAAATGATGGAGTGTTTCTCTGGAGTAGAAACACTGGGTCATTAGGTATGAACATTTTCAGCTTTCCCTATGAGTCGAAGTCGACTCGACGGCAACAGGGTTTAGATACCGCCACAGTGCCTGCCGCTTCCCTGCAACCTCCCCACCGCTGATAGCATCAAGCTTGACTTCTGCCAGTCTGACAGGCAAGAATGGTTTCTCATTGCTGTTTACAGTTTGCAGTGACTCATTACCAGTGACACTGATCATCTTTTCGTAAGTTTGAGGCATTTCCTCTTTGGTGAACTGCTTGTACATATCCTTTTCCCTTTTTTCTACTGGGTTATCTTTTTTCTTATTGATTCATAGATTATTAATCCTTTGTATTACGTTGCAAACATTTTCTCACAGTCATTTGTTTTTCATTTTAGTTGCGGTATCTTTTGTTTTATAGGATTTCTCATTTTGTTACAGTCAAATCTACAATCTTATCCTTCATTCATTTCATTCAACAAACATTTATTGAGCATGACCCAGTGCTAGGCACTAGAGATACATCAGAGAACTAAACAGACAAAATTAGCTGCCCTCATGACACTTACACTCGCTTGGAGATGGAGGAGGCAGGTAAACAAATAAGCAAAATACACAGTACTCCAGATGCTAAGTACCCTGTAGTGCTGGGGGAGCATGGTTGGAGAAGGCCTCTCTGAGAATAGCAAGGAGACCAGTGTCCTGGAGCCGAGAGCAAAGCGGGGAGTAGGAGATGGGGTCGGAGAGGGGAGGACTGTATAGGGTCTTAGAGGCTGTTATAAGGAATCCGGCTTCTATCCTGGGTGCGATGGGAAGACATTGCCAGGGTCTGAGCAGAGTGGTGTGGTCTGACCTCCTTTGTAACACCCCACTCTGGCAGATGGTTGAAGACAGACCCTAGAGGAGCCAGGCAGAGGCAAGGAGACCAGTGGGTGGGGGTGGGAGATGATGGTGTTTATTAAATTGTAAACATGGTCACAGTCTGGCTATATTTCTTGTTAAGCAAAAATCAAGGACTTGCTTGTGGGGTATGAAAGGAAGTTCAGGATGGCCCCCAAGCTCTCTGGACTGGGTAAGGAGAAGGAAGGAGCTGTACTTCTGGAGCTGCAGGCACCCACTGGGTGCACGTTCCAATCTCCAGAGCCCATCCCTGCCCACAGCTCCCCCTGCCCACAGCTCCCCCGTTCGGGATGCTCATGGCCACGTGTCCTCTGGTTTCTCCTGACCTCATGACTCCCACTGCTGCTCCCACGATGCACTGCTCCCTCTCACAACCCCTCCCAGTCCACTCTCTCAGAAGAGGGAGCCTAACTGGCCCACGAAATAGGCAGCATCCCTGCTGGGCACAGCTCTTTGTGGCAGGCCACTTCATGGACTCCTGGCCAGCCTGTAAAGTGGCTGCCTTCAGGACAGGTTTCTGTTCCAGCCCCACAAGCCACTGGCAGAAGAACACCCCTTGGGCTGTATGAGCCAGGCCATGTCCCTTAAAGCTGGGAATGTGGGAGGATATACCTGGTCCAACTCCATTTTGTCACCTATTTGACTTTTGCTGTCCCAATGCTACTGCAATAAATAACACTATTGAAATGAAACAGTGAATGAAAAGGCACGTCTTAGATTCCTTAGCATCGAAATTTAACTACCGAAGCACCAAATTATATGTCTGACTCACATATAAGGGAAGTGACTACATAACTTATCATCCATATTGGGCCATTTTTGAGACTGAAAGTGGTGCTATTAGTAATTCCATCAGACAACAGGCAGACACTAGGACTGCCCTGGGCAAACTGAGACACACAGTCACTCTACTCAGAAGGCATATCTATAGGATCAGTCCCAAAGGAGCGTTACAGAAAGATTACAATCTATTTATCTAAATGGAAACTGCGCAGAAATTTCCAAGTACACTTAGAAAGAACTAGAAAAATACCGACATCTTACAAAAGCAGAACAAGCAAGTAGGCCTCAGAAAGAGCAATGCCCGAGTCAGTGATGGGACAGGGGGTGGACAAACAGAGGAACTGGCATAGGTCATGTGACAAGCCTTCAACCAACAAAGCGGAAGAAAGCACTTTATATCTGTGCACACTGAAAATCATACATGAGGGGATCTTGATGCAGGTATTTTGACTCAAGACATAAAATACCATTTTATATTTTCAATTAATAAATGCCTCAACTAG